TTGGAATGATGGGCTAAAAGAAAGATCATCACATTTGGATTTTATAATCTAACATGAATGGTAGATTCATAATGGATTGATTATTTCTAATATGCAAAATATTATTAATGTATAAAATATTACTATTCTCTTAGACATGATATAGGATCTGTTGTTAAAAGAAATTCAGGCTGGGGATATAAAATTATAATATCTACACACTGTCTCCATATAGATCGATTTTCTTTCTTTTTTCCCTTGTAGGTGTGGGGGAGGGTAATACTACAAGAGTTTAAATAAAATCCTTTAGTATTTCAACTGTCTTTTAATGGTTTGATCATTTTTTAATGTCATACTGCTCTTTTGAAAAATCAGAGTGCTGATCATCAGTTCTCAAGGAAGCATGTAAGAAAAAACATAATTTGTTCAGCAGAGGCATAATCCTTGCTCAGACTCTGATCAGACGAAAGCCACAGAACAGAATATCCATCACACTGATCGTTCCAATGACACAGAGAAGCACCTGGTATGTCTGGAGTGACTACTTTTTTGTACAAACTCACAGCTGACATGAAGGTTTAAATGCTGCTTGGTACTCCAACAGGTAGAAAACATAAATTGGGAAGTTGCAGCAGAGAGCAACTGTGTATTTTTGAAGTAACAGACTCATCAAAGTCCAGGCATACTATTTAAATTTTTACAGTCGAATGTTTTGTCCAGATTTTCAAAACCCATATTGTATGTGCTTTACACGATGCTATTTTGCTGTTTTCAAGTCTATGCAAATATGGTGGTGGGTGTAATAAATTCTTAATACGTAATTTTAAACCATTTTGTGCTCCTTTTAGCTAAGTGTGTTAAAAGATAAAATGTGCATATAAATGTGTTTGTGACAAAGGTGCTGTTAAGTAAAGAAACATTTACTAAAGGAATGATTTTGCAACTGGGAGATAATAATTTCCAATATGCTTTCTTTCACTGAAATAAACTATTATATGACAACACCGAATTGATACATATGTTGTTTTGAACTAATAAGTATTTTCTTTAGATAAAGAAACATGGTTTTAAAAGAGCCTTAGTTTTTGTTTTGTTTTCTTTCTTGTTTTGTTTCTGTCTTGCCAAGATACTTCTCAGAACAATGTTAAGTGCATAGACTAAAACACACTGGATTACAAAAGATACAAAGGAAACAAATTATTCTGAAATACAATGATTAAAATAGTATTAGGACATATTTGTGATATAGCAATGTATGCTTTTGAATGATACATTAGACAATATGGTCTAGCAGTGGCTTTAACAACTCTAAATCCAAAGTAAAGATGGGCAATATTTCAAGATACCTGCAAAACTTGTATTATGATACAAAAATACTTCTCTTAGTGATGGTGTGTAGGTACTGTTAATACTACTGTGGTTTGTGGCCTACATTCATAATTAAATAGCATGCTGGAAAGAAAGAGGTAATTTTGTCTATTTTACTAATCAAGTCCACAAACTTCCTGAGTTCTGCTTGAAAGTAACAATATGACACTGGTTGATAGGCTAAAAGAACCTTGAGGAGCTGCTAAATCAAACTTGTTTTCACAAAGTAATGACTTGAAGTTTCCACCAAATCAGTTTTTACTTTTCACCTTCGTAATAATTCAAATGGAAATGTGAATTAATAAAAATTAACAAAATGGCCTAAAAGTGCAGGACTTGTAAAGATTATGGTAAGCTGGAGAACACAGGCTCCTTCTAAAAAAAATTCATACGCATACCAAATAAAAAGTCTTAAGAGTCCCCTTAGGGCCACCAATATGTAACCTCTGATAAAATGTACAAAACCAAAAGGCTGGTTTAAATATTTTAGATTTTTGAAAGCTATATCCAAGTATTATCTTCTATCTTTACTGTCTACCTATATTGCTATGGGTAAGCAGATAATACTACATCTAAACAGAGGAAAATAGATGAACAATCTCTAACACATATCTAGTTAGAAAGTCTGACATAATAGCCACTATCCCACTTTCCTCTAAAGGGTAAGTAATTGCTGACGCCTTGAATTAGTGAGACGTTTTTAGTAAGGAAAGGAGGGAGAGAGGGAAGGAAGGAAGGAAGGTAGGAATGAGGGAAGACAGAGTTAAATTTAGTGTCGTGTATGAGCAAACAGTAAAACTTAACTTGCAAATGAATGCATCAGATAATAAGTCCCTGTGTGCTGAGTTGTCTACTACATTGTGCTTAATTCCTGACTGATATGTATTTCTAGTCTTCATAACAATTCTGTAAAGTAGGTGTTGGCATCAATATAAGATACTCAGACTTCTATTAGATTAGAAAAGGAGTTCAATTAGGGAAATCTCAAAGTTCTCACTGGCATCATACAGCCAAAACATCATCACAATGGTTCCCTCTCATTCCCACTTCCATATTGGCCTAAACTGAATCTTCTAAGAGCAATGCTAAGATAGAAATAATATTTCAATCAGAATGTTCCTATGTCAGTTTTGGTAATTAAACATGCCACAGAATCTTGTGGCCTCTGTACCTGTTGACTTTAAGGATGTCAAATTGTACAGGTTAATTTTACTCTATGGATTTTAAAATTGAAAGTATGCAATCTCTACTTTATAGAAGACAGAAGCAAAAATATGGCAAAACTCCATTCTGTATAAAATGTTTTATCATTATTTAGTGACTGAAAATAAAATTTAGGGGCACCTGGATGGCTGTCAGTCAGTCAAGCATCTGCCTTCGTCTCAGGTCATGATCCCAGGGTCTTGGAATCAAGCCCTGCATCAGGTTCACTGTTCAGTGGGGAGTCTGCTTCTGTCTCTCCTGCTCCCCCTGCTTGTGCTCTGTCTCTCTATCTCCCTCTCAAATAAATAAATAACATCTTTTAAAAATGTTATTTAAAAAAAGAAAAAACGTTTTTAAATATCCACCTAAGCATCAATATCAATTAAAAGTATTAAAATCCTTAATTCTTTAATGCATCTTAGGAAAATTTGATGCTATTTTTACTTTTTTACAGAAACAAATGTATACTGATAACAGTCAATATATCTTTTTTTTTCTTAAAGATTTATTTATTTATTTATTTATGATAGACAGAGAGAAAGAGAGAGGCAGAGACACAGGAGGAGGCTAGAAGCAGGCTTCATGCCGGGAGCCCAATGCCGGACTCGATCCCGGGACTCCAGGATCGCGCCCTGGGCCAAAAGCAGGTGCTAAACCGCTGAGCCACCCAGGAATCCCGTCAATATATCATTTTGAATTGTTCAAACATTACATACTTTTTAAATTTTTTTCGATCTTCAAATAGTTAAAATTAATGGTATATTATTTTCTTTTGTCATTTACATTCAAAGTTTAATGCATTTATCGTGTGTTCTAAACTTCAGAAATGAAAATAGGAAAGAAGTTAATATTTACAAAGAACCCGGGAAGTGTTAAATTTAAATGTTAAGCATATTTATGTCACTGCAGGGTAAAGCATAATTTTTCTTCTAGCTATATACAGCTTCTAATTTTTCACAAAATTTTATATTACTGTCATAATACCAATTAAGCTTATATTTAAAAATATGTCAGGATTTCTTATTCTGACCATAGAAAAATCATTGTTTTCTTTCTTAAGTGGAGAAAAGTCATTCGGGGCAATGGACCAGGGAGAAGCAACTGAGATTTCATAAAACGTGGTAAAGAAAGGCCTCTGTGACAAGGTGACATCTGAGCAGAGACTGAACAAGAAATAGAGTCACACAGGAAGAAGAGTATTGGAAGAGGCATCTGGGCAAGTGCAGAACAGAAGTTGTCAGAGAGGCGACATGTTTCACATAACATTTATCAGCACCTACTATGTATGCATGTTATGCTTTTCACTGCTGTGAAAGTACCAAACAACAAAAAGACATGATTCCTATTCTCAAGGAATTTTAACTTGAGCCAGGTGAAAAGTATGAGAAATACAAAAGAACTAGAAAACAATTCAAAGTAATTTCTCTTATGTAAAAAACTGTCCATACCTATTTTTAAAACAAAATCATCATCTATTCCACTTAATCTAGGGTATTAAAGACAGATTTTGTATTTGGATGATGCTAAAGCTTGCAATATCTATCCTCTTATAATTAACAGCTATTGGCTGTTTGCACTTAAGTCTTTTCTAATGAGACAGGATTAAGAGTCTAATGCTTTGTCCATAATTTTAATTTTTAAAACTAAGTTGTATTTCCTTCCATGATAATAGGAAAACAGATCCTCTAACTGTAATTTACTTTTGATGAATCCTTCAGCAGACTCTGAAACACTAAAGCAACAAAGATACAGATTTAACATCTATGAAATGTCCTTTAGAACTCCAGATAGTGCCATATCTAAAAAAATTTTAATATATTCTTTAAATAAATACTTTGCTGTCTTGCGTTTTGATACCATGACACATCAGTTCACTTGATACCTCTTCCTTTGTGTGTGAACAGTGTCAATCATCTGACAAATTTATTTCTACTGCAACTGATGAGCTATCCTTTTACTGACACATCTGTTAGATGGAATGTTTAGTTGATGAAAATGCATCATGTAGAGTAGACTAGGATAATATTAAATGAGTATGATGTCAAGCCCATCCAGAAAAAGATCACATAAATATTAAAATAAAAAGAACTTTGATTTGGGTGAAAGAAAAGAACAGTTGTTAGATTAACAAACAGTTGGAAACTGATGCAATCTAAAGGTTAATCACTTTTTGGGAAAAAAGTCGGTTCAATCCAGTCCCCTTTCAAGTGTATGACCAATACTCTCAGTTGTCCCATCAATACAAAATTATTGAGAGCCAATGAACAACCATGGGATAAGCCCTCTGAATAAAATGTGTACAATGAAAATCTATAAAGTTTCATGTATTCATTCAATAAATACTTAAGGCACGAAGCTAGAAAAGACAATTATAAATAGATTAAACATTATCTCTGCCCTCACAAGGCCTATAACTTAATAAGGTTATAAGCAAGAATGTTATTATAAGAATGTTCACCTTAGGAATACATACACTAAAATGGGAATGATACAGAGAAGAAGAATACGGTCCCTAAGCAGGACGACAGGCAAGTTTGTGAAGTGTTCCATATTTTCAAAAACTTAGCTCTCAAAATCTGTTATAGAAATTAATATTAAAAGGGCTGTGGTCTATGTACAAACACAAGATGATGTAAGATGCATTTAATGCTGTTCACAAGAAAACCACTTTAATATAAATACATAGGTTGAAGGTGAAACAATGGAAATAAATTTATCATCTGAGCACTAATTAGAAAGGAAAACGTGAAGATGGCTAAAATAAATAACACAGGAAAGAACAATTGTTGGTGAGGATGTGGAGAAAATGGAACCTTCATAGCTTGCTGGAATGTAAAATGATGCAGCTTCTTTGCAAAACAATTTAGCAGTTTCTCATAAAGTTAAATATAGAGTTACCACATGACCCAGCAATTCCACTCCTAAGTATACATCAAAGAGAAATGGAAACATATGTACGTGAAATGCACAAGTGCATTATTCATAAAAACCAAAAAGTGGAAACGGTCCAAATGTCCATCACTTGATAAATGGATAAATCAATGTGGCACATCCAAGTGATGTAAGCAGAATAAAGGCCCCTAAATACGACTGTGTCCTAATCCCTGGAACCTGTGAATATGTAACCTTGCAACCTTGCATGGCATAAGGGACTTCCCAAATGTGAGTAAGTTACGGTCTGTGAGATGGGGAGGTTACCCTGAAAGATCAAGAGCCCAGTGTAATCACAAGGCTCTTAAAATTGGAAGAAGGAAAAAAAATTAAAAAAAAATTGGAAGAAGGAGAGAGGAGAGTCAGTCACAGAAATTCTGTGTGAGAACTCCCCCTGCTTTTGTTGGCTTCGAAAATGGAGAAGGGAGGGGAAGGAGGGAGAGAGAGAAGGCCATAAATCAAGGATGGAGAGAGGTCTCTAAAAGATGGGAAAAACAAGGAAATGGGTTCTTCCCAGTGTCCAGAAAGGAATGCAGCTTGCCAACATCTTGATTTTAACAAAGTGAGACTTGTATTGAATTTCTAATCAATAGAACTGTCAGATAACAAATTTATGTTGCTTCAAGCCACTAAATTTATGGTAACTTCTATCAGCAACAGGAAACAAATATGTTATTCATTGGAATAGTATTCAGCTATGAAAATAATTGAGTATTGATACATTACAGCATGGATGAAGATTGAAAACACTATGCAAAGTGAAACAAGAAAGTCACAAACACCACATATTGTATGATTCTATTTATATGAAGGTATGCAGAGTAAGCAAATTTTTTAAAAGATTTTATTTATTTATTCACGAGAGACGCAGGCAGAGAGAAGCAGAGACATAGGCAGAGAGAGAAGCAGGCTCCCTCTAGGGAGTCTGATGCAGGACTCGATCCCAGGACCCCAAGATCACGACCTATGCCAAAGGTAGATGCTCAACCACTGAGCCACCCAGGTGCCCCAGAGTGACCAAATTTATGAAAACAGTGAGTAGATTAGTGATTGCTTAAACCTGAGTGCAGGAGGCTCTAGTGGGGACAGGGTTGACTGTTAATAAATACAGGGTGTCTTTTAGGGAAGCAGAGTGTTCTTCAATTACATTATGGTATTGGTTTCACAATTCTGTAAAAATACTGAAAAAATGAACTTTAAATGGACAAGCTGTATGATATATGAATTATATCTCAGCAATGCTGTTTTTAAAACAGAAAACAAAAAGAATATCAGAGTGACTATATTTATATTAGAGTTGACTTCAGAACAAAAATATTACCATGGACAACGAGGGACATTTTATGACCATAAATGGAGCATGTTACCAAGAAAACATAGCCATCCTAACTGTTGCACCAACAATAGAGTTTCAAATAAAATGAAGGAAAAACTTATTGAAAAATTAGACAAATCCAGAAATGTAGTTGAAGACTTCAAGTCTCCTCTCTATTTGCTAGATCTATTTGTTGAAAAGACCTGAAAGCAATGAAACTCTAGTACCAAAAACCACACTTATCACTGAGATCTTGATTTCCAAATACCATCTCCTTAAGGAAATGGCTTATTCTTGGGCTGGGATATGGAAAGTATGAGATGAACTTAGAGTATTTTGTGCCAGTCTGTAAGAAGGTATTCAAAGATTCATGGGGACATGAATGACCCTGGAGTCAGTTTGAAAAGACTACCATTGGCCTGGTGTGAGACAGTAGAGCAAAGTAAATAATTATAGTAATGAATCACAACCTACAGAAGAAAAGAGGAATCCAGAAGTGCATGGTAATAAAAATAAATGTAAGAAAACTAAATGTATACATAAGGGAAAAAAAACTCTCTTCATTAGAATAGAATTCTAATAATATACATAATAAATTAGAAAATCACTATTTGGCAACAACTACAGTAATAATTTTCAGGCAAGGACGACAAACAGATGTTAAAACTAGCAGACAAAAGTCTATAAGTATCCCCTAATGAGATACTTATTAATTATAAACAGGGAATTAAAAATTTTATAGTAAAGAAAAATGGTAGTTGCCATCTTAACCAACTGACCAAAATTAATATCACTGATAATTGGCCCAACCTGCCATCATCTGCTTGCTGACAGGATGCGCTGAGGATACTTCTGTGGTATTCTTACCAAAAATGCATAGTCTGAATCTAATTATGAGGAAACGTCAAACAAACAAAGGGATTTTCAGAAAAATTCTTGGCCTATACTCTTCAAAAATGTCATTGACATGAATAACAAAGGACAAAGAAAATATTGTGGAAAAGGGACACTAAACAGGCATGGAAACTAAATCCAATGTCTGTGTGATCCTGTGGATCCTTGATCAGAGAGAGGGAAAAAAAAAAACCACTTTGATATTAAGAGCATTAACGGGACAATAAAATTTGAATGAAGACTATAGATTGAAGTATTGTGTCAATATGGTCTTGATATTAACTTCTGAATTTTCCTAACCACCTGTGATTGTGTAAATTCCCTGTTTTTAAGAAAGCCAGGCTGACGTATGTAGAGGTTATGAAAGCTGCAGACAAGAGGCTGAAGAAGGGTATGGAGGGACATCTAAACCAGTGTGGGACATGAGGGAGAATTACCACAAACTTGGTGCCTTAAAACCACCTAAATTTATTATCTTAAGTTTTGGAAATCAGAGGTCCAAAATGGGGGTTAAACCAAGATGTTGTCAGGGCTATGTTCCTTCTGGAGGCTTTAGGACAGAACCCATGTCCTTGCATTTCTAATTCCTGATGTTGGCCACCTTCACTGGCACTTTGCCCCACACTTCAGTTTTCAAAACCAGCAATGGCTGGCTAGATCCTTCTCTAGTCAAATAACTCTGACACTAACTCATTTTTTTGCCTCTCGTTTCTAATTTCAAGGATGCTTGTAATTACTTTGAGTGCATCATGACAATCCAGGATAATTTCTGCATTTAAAGGTCAGGTGATTACAAGCTTAGTTCCACTTTCTATCTCAATTCCCCACTTGCCATATAACAATGTATTTACAGCTTCCAGGGATGAGGGTGTGACCTCTTTTGTTGGCCATTATTCTATCTATCACAAAAAGCATTAGTTTTCCTTCTGTGGCAGGTATGATACAGTGATTTATTATAGAAAACCAAATCATATTGGCTTAGCAGTTAAGGAACGTATTTGGTTTATGTAACTGAAAAGTGCAGAAGAGGAAGCTGCATTTAGGATAGGCTTAAGATCTTCACATGATTGATTTCTGTGAATCAACTTTGATGTCACCCTAAGTCACTCACCATCAGGATCCCAAAATGGTAGTTAATAGGTCTCATGGATACAAAACCATTCCTTCCTATCAGCAGTAGAGAGGGTATTTTTGTCCTAGCAACCTAAGCACACATTCAAAGGTTCACTTTGATTGGATCAGCTCAGAATTATATACCTGTCGCTGCACCAATTCTGTGGCCAGAGCAATGGAATGCAGTAATGGGCTTAGATTTGTTCCAAGGTCCCAGAAATCTGGTCCCAGCTTCCCCAGAAAAAATAAGATACCAAGTGGAAAGTTCTTGAGATGAGAACAAGGATGAATGAAAAGAGGGGACAACCAACAAATGTCCATTGTGTCTTCATAGTCTCATATCCAGAATTATAATCTTTTATTAATAGAATCATGAATAACCTAGAATTATTTCATAAGTGCTAAATTTCATCTAATAGCATCAAGTAAAGCAATGCAAATTTAAAAAATATGTAGACACTAGGGTCATAATACATGAAATATGACATGGGTTACTGAATTGCAATCAGCACTGTTGTCCCTGCTCTGCACTAATACTAGCTCAGTCTTCTATTTTAATTGGGAAACAAGAAGTATTCAGTTGGTTCTTGAATACACAGGGACAGATGGACAATTTTGCTCAACATAAGCATATTTCTGCCTTATTTTTCACAGCAAATATTTTGTCTGTGGTGAATTTTTACTTTAATTTTAAATCCTAAATTCTTTGTTACTTTTTCTTTTGAATTTCTAGTTCTGTGATTATCATAGGCTTTATTCTCTTGTCACATTTGTTTATAGGAATATTTCCACTCGTATGATTTGTCAGCACAGATATTGGTTTACTTATATATTCAAGCCTTATTTTTTTCTTTTTAAAAGTAGTTTCCATACCCAGCATGGAGCCCAACGTGGGGCTTGAACTCACAACCCCAAGATAAAGACCTGAGCAAAGATCAAGAGTGGGATACTCAACTGACTGAGCCATCCAGACGTCCCTCAAGTCTCAATTTTTAAAAGTATTTTATGAAATTTACTGAGGTATAACTGACATACAATATATTAGTTTCAGGTGTACAACAGAGTGATCTCTGGGTTTTCCCTCTGCCTCAGATTTACTCTGTATACATTATAAATGTTAATCATAGTAAGTCTAGTTACCATGTGTCACCTTACAAAGTTAATACAGCGTCACTGAGTCTATTCCCCATGGTGTGCATTACTTCCCCGTGATTTATTTATTTTATAATTGAAAGTTTGTACTTCTTAATCCCCTTCACTCATTTTGAACTCATTCTTCTGGCAACCATGTTCTCTGTGTCCA